TCACCCCAAGCGTGATCTGGGATATCAAAATTAATAATTCAAACTTTTTCAAGAGGTGATACTGGGTCCATGCCCATCTGTGCTAGTCAGGTGCGGTGATGTTGATTCAATGTCACTATATGAATCTCCTTCTACTATCGGTCGTGATACGATAGTTGTTCTTCCCAATTTTATTTGGCACCCCTCAACTGTGGTCTGGGTTATCAAAACCAATGTGTATTATTTTCCTAGATTTCCTCTTATCCCTCTATATGTGTATCCCCTGATAGTATCATTCTTACTTTTCGGCAGTCTGTGTGGCTACGACGATTTGTCCTCTACCACACGTTGTTCGTTACAAAGAATATAAGGCTACCCTTGAAGGCGATATGCTAATACGCCATAGGGATATTTGTGTTTGTCTGTGCACACCGATCTTATTGGTGTTATTGCATAGAACCCTTAGTTCATCCTCCCCTTGTGAGGATTTGTTTTCACCCAATTTCACTTGGCATCCCCAAGTGTGGTCTAGGATATCAAAATCAATAATTCAAATCCATTTTTGAGATGAAATACTGGGTTCATACACACATATGTTAGTTAGGTGAGGTGATGTTGATTTACTATCTTTGTGTTAACTTCTTTCTCCTACCAATTTCTTTATAATTGTGTTCCCCAGTTCGTTCACTCAAGTTGAACAAGATCTGGGATATCAAAATCATTCATTCAAACCTCTTTTTGAGATGAGATATTGGGTCATTACCAACCCATGTTAATTGGGAGTGGTAATGTTGATCCACTATCTATATAAGCTATATTCTTAAATCAATTTTGTTGTGATTGTGCTCCCCAGTTTCATTCATATGGTAAAATGGCCTGAGTTATCAAAGTTAATATTTCAATTCTTTGCAAAATTCTATCTAATTTCTCTCTCCTTAGTTTTTTCATGTGGCGAATATGGCCTGGGTTATCAAAGCCAACCATATCCTCCCTCTTTCTGCTACTTTAAATCTTTTGATAAAGTTGCCTAAGAAATTCCACCGGCATTTGGATACTCGTGGCCACGACATTTTGTCCTCTACCACGAGGTAACTAGAAGTCAGTTTGAGAACTCTTAAACAATTTTTCCCTAAAAATTTTTACAATTACCTTTACTTTCTTCCTTACATCCCCACGCAAATCTATGTCAGGTCGATGTCGAGCTGACTTTCACCTTCTATCCTGTTGCCTCGATAGGGTCAGGCAGATAGTTGGCCACTTAATTACCTGGTTGGGGGTGCCCGACAGAGCCCCTGAGAGACATACCCCATCACCCTGACTCTTTATTCCCTTGGTTGAAATGATCAAGTGAGTATTGTGCCTATCTATGTTTGCTAAGCTGATATGGTAAGACAGATGTTGAGAATTACCTGGTTGAGAGAGCTCGATAGAGTCCATGGAAGGCATTCCTCACAACCTTTTACTTCTTTGATGCCCTATTGTGATTAGGCAGGCGTTAGACCCTGACTTTTTATTGCCTTGGTTGAAATGATCAAGTGAGTATTGAGCCCATCTATGTTTGCTAAGCTGAAATGGTAAGGCAGATGTAGAGAATTACCCGGTTGAGAGAGCCCAACAAAGTTCCTGAGAGGCATTCCTCACCACCTTTTTCTTCTCTGATACACTGTTGTGATCAGGCTGATGTCAGACCCTGACTCTTTATTCCCTTGGTTGAAATGATCAAGTAAGTATCAAGCCCATATATGTTTGCTAAGCTGAAATGGTGAGACAGATGTAGATAATTATCTGATTGAGAGAGTCCGACAGAGTCTCTGGGAGACATTCCTCACCACTTTTTTTCTTCTCTGATGCCCTGTTGTGATTAGGCAGGCGTTAGACCCTGACTATTTATTCACTTGATTAAAATGATCAAGTGAGTATCAAGCCCATCTATGTTTACTAAGCAGAAATGGTAAGACAGATGTAGAGAATTACCCGGTTGAGAGAGCCCGACAGAGTCATGGGAGGCATTCCTTACCACATTTTTCTTCTCTGATGTTTTGTTGTGATCAGGCAGACGTCAGATCCTTGACTCTTTATTCACTTAGTTAAAATGATTAAGTGAGCATTGAGCCCATCTATATTTTTTAAGCTAAAATGGTAAGACAGATGTAGATAATTACCCGATTGAGAGAGCCCGACAGAGTCCCTGGGAGGCATTCCTTACCACCCTTTTTTTATCTTTTTTCCTGCTATTTCGATAAGGTTAGACAGGTAATTGGTCTATTTTACTACTTTACTTTTTGTACTCTTCTCTGCTCTACCCTTGGTATCGAGTAAGACTATGAGAGAATTCCTCTACTTTTTTTACCTTTTGGTGATCTTTACTGTTGCTCTTTACATCCGCCATCCCCTCTGTTCCGCCCTTACGAAAGTGAGGTGAATAGATGACCAACTCCATCTTCCACCTTTAATGAACTTTTAATTGTTTGCATTTCACCTTCTACCTTGCTATTTCAATACGATTAGGCAGGTAGTTGGTTTGCTACTTTGCTTTTGTTCTATCCGCAGCTCTTCCCTCACTGTAGGGTAAGACAATGAGAGAATTTTCCTACTTTTTCACCTTTTGGTGATCATTTACTATTTTCATTCTTTATTTCACTGTTTCGAAATGATCAGGTGAACATTGAGTCTGCCCACATTCACTGTTTCGATACGATCAGGTGGATATGTGGTGCCCCTTTTACTTGTGTTCTCTCATCGGCTCTGCCCTTACTATAAGACAAGGCAAGAGAGGAGACCCCTACTTTTTCACCATTTGGTGATCTTCTTCTTGTGCTCTTTACTCTACTTTTTCGTCACATTCGGTTAACGCCAACACGCGCGATTCACTAGTTTGTTCGCCGTTTCTGTTGGGGGTTCGTTTGTCGACCTCTATTTTGCTCAAACTCTAGAACTAAGGAGTTGACTTGGTCAAACTGACCAAGCCAGGCCCCAAGACCATCTCACTTGTGTTCACTAGGTCAAACCTAGTATATGGATCTCATACCTAGGCTCTAGGTCAACCCGGTTGACCAGGTCAACCAAGGTCGACCCAAATTGACCCAAACTCCTACTTGGTTTCAAATCAATTTCAGTGCTTCTCAAGCCCAATTCTCTCCTCCCTTGGACTCAGTGGGTCAAACTTAACCCATTAGGCCCATACCCTTGCCCTGGGTCAACCTGGTTGACCAGTTCAACCCAGGTTAACCCATTAAGCCCTATTGGGTCAATTCAAGTCAAATCCAATTCAAAATTATCCTTGACCCAATCCACTCATTTCATGGGTCAAATTGACTAAGTTGACCAAGTCAAGCTTTGACTTGGTCAACCCAAGTCTTCCTCGATCAAATTGGACCTATTTAGGTCAAAGTGTTCATGTCTAATGCATTTAAATCCTCCCTATAGCTCCCTTGGTCCAAGGTCCAACCAAATAAACTTAATCTCCCTCCTAATTCACCCTACATAAGTCCAAGGCCAATTAGGAAATTCTCTAGACGTCGGCCTTACTTCCAAAACACTCAAACTACCTACCTATCTTTTATAAAGACCGAACTACATGGATTTTATGTGCTTAGATGGTTAGCTGGCTTTCCTTTTCAGGTAGGATATAAGCCCATATCGCATTAGTTAGGACATGGGTGTCAGTGTTGGGTAGAACACTAAACCCACCTTAGATTTAGGGTTCAATGCTACTACATTCAGTGTCTCGTTGTACGTCTCATTAGTGGGTAAGTTCCATTTCTTCAGGGACTATAAATCCTACTTATCCACGTCACATGGATGATGCCGCTTCTATCCTTCTCCTTTGTATGCTCTGAGTGAATGCTTCTCTTTCTTCTTAGTTCCTTAGTCCCTCCGGATGTCAGTGTGAGCCGTGCATGTCGACTAAGCCCATTTGAAACATTTCTTTCCCATTGAGTAGGATTTTCTAGTCTCCCTTTTGTGCCAATCCCTTCTTTGGGAGGGAATAATATCGGATCCTTAATCGAGAGTATTCTCGGGCTTCGACCTGAGATGCAATTAACCATGGGGGCTTGTGCCCGTGGGAAACGGAATTCCACAATAAATAAACTCCACTCGAGCTGGTGTATCGGGTGGGGGAAACCCCGTGACACTGATCGGGTTGTGTATATTACACCCATCGGGGTGCGTTGGTGAGAGCCGCTATCCTCAATGGTTGATTGTATGTAGGATTTAATATGCCCTCCCATTGGCCCGCTTGTGAGGAGCGTGGAGGCCTGTGATCGTTTCTATTCCTCGGGGTGGTGCGGTCGTATACCCTCTGCACTCTGTAACGCAGCGGTGTCCTTTCGGAGGTCCACACTTCATAATACCGGCTGCTCTTGCTATTATTAGCTTATCATACTTGTTTTGGCATTGCTCTTCCAGTATGAGTAAATAGAATAAAATAATAGATTTAATAGTTTGATGAACGAGTTATTGTTGTAATTTGCTATAATTCTAAAAAATATGTTGTTTTCTCTAGTTTCACATGATTGTATATGTCAAAAATAATGCAAATACTGATTACTCACTTGTTTTTTTGGGTTTTACAAAAGTTCCAAACCTGCTTGCGTATATTTTTCTGGATTTGCGAGTATATATAAAACAACACACAACAGTTATTTATTTTTTTAAATTATCGTGTTGCTGTCACAGCCTCAACTAAGGCTTCGTTTGGGACGGCTTTTTTTATTGCTTCTTAAAACAGAGATTTTTCGTACAAAAGACATCCCAAACGAAGCCTAAATAAGACATGCTCATCAGTGAAACTGACATCTCGTATCATCCTATATGGCAAATCCCATGTATGTAATTCCACAATAAAATAATAATTAGTCCAGTGTATGTAAAAAATTTCAGTGACAAAATTTCATTATTTTTCATGCTGGCATGTCATTTGGCCTATCAACTGTGTATGACCATAGACAATGATCTCCTTGATTTCATTCACCCAATTCACAGAATGTCAAATGGCTTATAAATTTCATTATGATCAGGAGGAGCTACAATCACTCGAAGGACTTCAAACAGTCTCCAGATCCTGCAAAGAGTAAGCATTGGAATTTTATCAGCAATTCTTTATTAAAAGTTGCATTAATTCTTTATTAAAAGTTGTACACCTACATTTAGCCGAAAGCTTTGACAGGATTTATAATTGAAGAAGCTAATACCACCTGCAGTCCTTGGCCTCTTACAATATATTGTTATGATCCTCATAATTAATTTTATCTTTGTTATTATTATTTTTTTTCAAGATGAGAACTTTCTTAATTAATTTAATGACACTTTCTCTTCTCTATTTCCTGGTTTTTGAGATTCAATAAAGCCTGTGAATTTCTTTTAATTAGGCCAATGATACAATCATCATTGCTCTAGGCCTAAATAAAATTCGTTGAGAATGGTCTAAATTTTTTTCTTCACGGGTATGTAACTGAAATTGGAAGTCTTTCAGGTTGCTTTATATCTTAAACAACCAATGCTTGTTCATGAGCTGTAAGATACTTGATAAGGTAAATCTTTTTTTAGTCGTCAAATTGAGAAATTTGTAGGTTATACTCAAATCTGCCTTTTCTAGATAAAATGGAAAAGTGAATAACATTGAAATGAGTGCGGCCTTCATGGTTAGTAGGATGTTTTTCTTAAGAATTTACTTAAAAATTTTTTGATGTACATCAATGACTTTGCAGGGTTGAAGAATTTGTGGGATCAAAATCAGATCCGTTAGTACCCATGTATGATTCCTCTACTCTTCCCATTTCTCAAGAAAAGCTTAGAGTGTAATGTATTGATGGTGTTCTTTTTTGAGCAGAGATAAGAAACAGCAAAGATCTTGTCGTCTTTGGAAATGGCTTAGGTAATTTCTCTTTTTTTTTTTCTTTAATATTTCATGTTACTCCGATAAATTTTCATGAATTCATATCAAACATTGCTCCAATAAATTTTCATGAATTCTTATTTAGTTAAGCACCTTTCATAGTTCTATGGAAACCTTTAAAATGTCTTTAAGTCATAGTATTAACAGACTGTCAGACTTTATTGATAAATAGATGATATTACCTTTTTGCTCAAGCACAATTTTTTTTTGTGAGCAGATGTTCTATAACCAGACAATGAAATGAGCACAATATCAAGCAACTATAAGGAATTGGCTTAGGAATAAGAAGAAATTAAAATACAACATAACTAGATAATAAAGAAGTAGTACAGCTTTAGGCTATGTGCAGACAAGAAGGATTGATTCCTAGTTGATATCCAAATTTGATTCTAAGTTTTGTATACAATCCAAATCTAAAGTAGTTGGATCTACAATTTCGATGCATGATGGTAGATTTTCATCCAAGGAATTCTCCCCAAAAACATGGGTGCTAGGATTTATAGCAATTGATTTCCTCAATTTTGATTGAGCATGAAAATACATTGTGTATTTGTGTCTAAAAATTTGTAAAAAGAATAATAGGAAGGGATATTTTCAAATTCCACCTTATGCTAATATCCACAAGTTGTGCAATTAATCCAAATCCCCTTCTTTAAAGTAAAGTAACATCCATTTTAATTAGGGCCTTGGCCATCAACAGCCCAGTGAGTTTAGCAATTGTTGCATCCACTTGTAAGGGTCTCTTGAATATATCCAAGAGAATGCATAATAAATTGGTTGAAGTAATGAATTCAAAACTGTGAAAAGCAACCCAAATTGAGGTAACATGTGGTTCCTTAACACTACCAAAGTGAGAATACTTAAGCATCCTCATCGGAAAACCATTGTTATATGATCTACTAGGAAAAAAAAAAGTTTAGAATAATCCATTTCTAAGGATAATTTGATATGCACATGATGGGAATCTCCATTCAATCCTAAGTCAGCATGAATCTACAAACAAGCTTAAGTCAAGGGCGACCTCAGGAGAACTTGCCAACAATAGTGGGAAAAATGGTGATGCCAACTCATAAAACTACTCATTAGAAAAGATAATAGAAGTTTTACCTTGAATTTTGGATGGAAACTTTTGATGAGTTGGTATTGAGTATTTCTGGAAGATGAGAAACAAGCAGAAAAAAATCATGATGATCCTTCTTCCTCCAACAACTTCAATGACGGAACTTGGAGCACAAATGGTGGGAGAGGCATTATTTGCTGAAGCCCTAGGTGTAGGAATTGGCTAAACACACTACAGGAAAAACGCCAAACACCGGCGGTTACTATGGCAAAACTGGCGGTTTTAAATTATACCGGCGATTTCTCGGCGGCTTTTAAGCCGCCGGTAAAATTGGCGTAGGAAACACTTACCGGCGGTTTTGTTAGGCGGCGGCTTTCCGGCGGCCTATACCGCCGGTGACTACCGGATTTGCAACCGGCGGTGTTCCAGCCGTTAAGCCGCCGGTTATACTACCGACGGCTTACCGGCGGTCACCTCAACGACGGTATGCCGGCGGTTAAAGAGGCCGTCGTGCGTTCGCTAAACCGCCGGCTAGCGTCGGTACACCGCCGGTTATTTTACCGAGGGTCACCCGGCGGTCATGGCCGACGGTACTACTGGCGGTATACACCGCCGGGGTTTCACCAGATAACCGCCTGTGGCTGTCGGTAACCGCCGGTATATTACCGGCGGTTTAAGGAAATTACTGGCGGCTTATCTTTAGCAGTCCGGTATCGTAGTTTCCGGCGGCCAAACCGCCGGGTGGCTGCCGGAAACCTGTAGCACCTGAAAAAAAAATTGTTCACTCTAAATTCTAAACCTGCAGAAATAGTAATACATAATAAGATATTTTGGGCAACACGCCGCTATATTCATCACAATTATATACATAACCACAAATTAAATAAACAAGTTTACAATCAAACATTATGAAGTTCTAAATAAGTTCATCAAACATAAAATTTAGAGAGACAAGTTAGTAGTATCAAGCGCTATTTCAAGAATTTTGCCTCTTGTACTTGACTTCATTTATCTTATTTCAAATGTTCTCATGAATGCAATGCTCCAAATGGTATTTGTTTTTTTTGTTTTGTTTTTTTTTTGTGTCAGAGAATTAGCAATATTAGATCTCTTATGAATTGATCATTATAATATTTCACTTGTGTAAGAGAAGAGAGGATCGGCTTTATGCTCATGGGGTTGATCTGTGGGATTAAGGACTTTGTCCTAAATTAAAATCTTATGGTTCAGATTCATCCTGGGTTGGTCATGGCATTTAGTTTATTTATTTGTTTGGGAATTTAACCGAAATCTATTTGTATTTATGGACTTTATAAATTGTCATATTTGCTTCTTTCAAAGTAAATTCATATAATTGAGGAGTGTAAGGCTGAGTGGCTATTTCTTAATTTACTCGAGCTGTTAGGGAATTTGTACCTTATTAGATGCTTAAATTGAACACAAAAGTTCGGATGCATGCTATGGGTCCATACAAAACTTAGCACTAGGCCATAATTATACTGGTATTTAATGATTTAGACTAAATGTTGAATTAATAGGCATGTGACCCATCTTATTGACAAAATGTTGCGTTGGATTTGTTCAACAACATTTATATGCATTTATTTAGTTCAGACGGTAGAGTTGGCACTTGGCTCTTAGCACAAAGTTTTATTTTTTTTTTGGGGGGTGGGGGTGGGGGGGTGGGTGGGATTGGGGGTTAT